ATTATTTCAACAGGAAGTATAAACATTATACTGGTTTATAAATCTTTATTGAATTTACTTTATTTTATCTTTATAATTGTACATAATAAAAACAGTTAAATACTGTCCTTCAATGACGGATATATTAATTTTAGGTAATATGATTTATTTATATTTTAATATATTTTTGTCGTTCATTTCCGATCCAATCTCTTTATTAGAGGTTGTTTGGGAAAATTTAAAAATGAATTTCCTAAAATTTACCAGCAATAAATTTACTTACATTCTATGTTTAGTATGATAGTATGTCCAAATATTCTCACTATTTTTGTGTTTAAGGTAATGATAAAGATAAATCTTTTTAGATATTCTGGAAAGAAGTAGGTCGACCTAAATGCCAGAATTAAAATTTTACTTTGAATTGAATTTAAAATCGCTAACTATTCATTGAAAAAAGACATTAAGATTCTTGAATGTCAGGTGCGATCAGTTAAGGTAAGGAATTCCTTACATTTCACATGTGATCGCGAGATTATTGCGTAGTGCATCGAGACAGCGAAATTACCAAAAATATGTTGCAATCGGAAATTAAGACGACGTGCGTGGCCGTCGAAAACCACGGCAGGTCAAAGAACAGGTCCATGGCATTTAACAAGTGATGCTGAATTAAACCCGCATATAATTTGAGAACAAATGAAATGTTCGCATCTCGATTGACCCCTGCGTAATCGCTTTGGACCGAGCATTGATATTTGACTCCTATCTTTATCTATCAACGGCTTCTTTCAAACGAAATAACTCTTTCACCTTTACTGAATGACAACAGGTTATTATAAATTGATTGCAAATTAGATTATGTAATGAATTAAAGAAAATAATACAATAATATATTATACGAGGACAATGACAATACGCTCGTCAGACGGGAGATTTACATACGTTTAGCAGAATTTGGGACGACTGGTCAGCGTCTGTCAAGTTAAGATTAAAGCACTTGTCACGGAGAAGGCTGGCAGGTGAGTTGTTTATAACAGTTACATTGAATCAGTCGTAAGATTTGGAAATTACATTGAACAATGGACGGTACGAATGGAAACTTATATGGTCCGTCTGTTTCGGAACCAGTTTTAGGAAGACTTTAATGGTATGGAGTACTACATCTGTCAATAATATAATTCTTAAAAGATTGTAGGGGTTCTGTGATACACTTTAATATTTATATACTCACCGTGTAGCGGTAAAAGGCTTTGAATTGACGTTTTTCGGTTCAGTAGTTATAATAAGAAATATGAACGTGTCCGGTTGAAAGAGAGAACATTCATCAGAAGAACATTCACATTCTGATTGAAGACTTAGTTTTATGGATGAAAATTATTTTTATTTTTATGTGATATTCCAAATTAATATTAATCTTGCTATTCGAGTTTAGGAACACCATAACAGTAGAATAAATTGGGAAGATATAAAAAGATTTTCACTACTTTCTGTTGCGTTTTTTAGTGTAGATGAAATACGAGCAGCATCATATGACTGTAGTTTTGCTTTGTTGGACTGAATTAAATAAAATATCAATTTTGTAAGCAGAACGAGGTGTATTCTAATATATCAGTCTCTTTAAAAGTTTGGCCCAAGCCCTTCTAAGAAACATGAAATCTATATATGAATAGACATTTAACCGGCAACCTGTTTGAATGTCATTTGGTGGCAATCGCATCTCCCGACGTTTGGTCAGAGATGAGGTTTTTAGATAAGATCTCGAGATGCGAATGTTTTATGGCTGGTACCGATGTTGTAACTCGTAATGCTATGATATTGCACGTTAATTTTATAAGTTCTTACAGCAAGCTTATTGATACGTTCATTAGTTTTGAATGCTAGGAGTGGGGAGGTTCTATTGATTCAATAATGTACCAGAGAAAAGTCAATCAACTAACTCAGACATTACTTACATTCAGTGTGACTTTATTAAGTAATCTAACAGACAGTTGGCGATTGCTCAATTGTAATAATATCTGCTTAGTTGACAAACAGCCACTTGGACGGTATTCGATTACCTCCCAGATATGCTAATAACATATCCAAAGGTACAATCGCCTTCTCGCTAATGAAGGTTGATTCTGATTATGATACCCGATGATTAAACGCTGTGTCGAAATACATCAGCTGCGAACACAAACATACAATTGCAAAAGGAACGTGTAATTCAAAACATGTAAATTATTTTTAATCAAATTTTTGTTTTTAACTTTTTTCGGTCGTTGATATCTTGTATTATTTATGGAGGAATATTAAATAAAACATAACGTTTAACGTATGCATTTTTAAGAACGAACGAATTAAGAACGAACGAACGAATTAAGAACGAATACGCAAGAAGAAAATTTTACATATTGTATAACTCAAATGAATTATTTCTTTTATATTTAACTGTATATATTTTATTTGATTTATTTAAATGCTTTTAGAATAAAATAAAGTTTTTAGAATTTTCTGTATTGAATCTTATAACTTTTATTACATTTTTTGTGTTACATATTAATGGAACGTAACACATCTTTTGAAATCAATTCTTTCTTCGGCTTTCCTTCTACAAATATAAAACAGTAACAGCTATCACGTGGTTCTAGTTTTCAAATGTTTTGCCCCCTATGTCTTGGGAAATGTTTCCCAAATGGAAAAATTGTGAAGGTAAATTAGGAAAAAAGATCTTATCTCTTTTCTTTAGCTGTAGTTACCAAATTATTTCTCTCTGAGCTCTTTCTCTGTCTTGGTGACGCGGCCCTGGAGCTAGCAGCTTGCTGCTTCTTTTGATATCTTTTATTGTAATTTGACCCAACTACCTTAAGACCTTGAAATGTTCTACATCTTTGAGAATATCTGCTTCCAAGGTCCTGTTATTCCATTTCAAGATCTCGTTTCTTGATTTACTTTGGGATATAATAATCCTTGTCAATTTATTTTATAATTTTTATTTTCTAATATCCAATCTTTAGAGAATACTACGAGTATATGTGATATCTTTGACTCCTGTTAAATGTTATTATTCATTTTTATATCTAACACTATAAGTTCTTCCACTTTCTCATGTTATCCTTTGACGAGTTCGGACCTGGACGCTAAATAATGTAAACCTTTTATTGTGATTAATATGTGTTCCAGGAAACTCTCTTTTTGTGCTGATCATGTGGGTAGGTATAACATTAGTTATTTTTATATTTATAAAGATTGTAAATTTTTTATTATTAATTACATTATTAGGTGTACTGCATTGGTGTCAAATTCTATATCAATCCCGTTAGCCTAAATTTAGATTATACATTATTTTTGGAAAGTAGTTGTCTATAAAATCGAAACGACGAAAGATCATATGAAACTATTTTTTTTAAATTAAAATGTTTAATATTTATTATGTAAAGTAAATAAACATGTGTTAGAAACTAGTATTATGTATATTTATTAAATGTCTTTCCTGCTAGGCTGACGGTGTAATTATGTTAATGTATACAGTTCAATGGTATGCAATCTTCATTGTACACACAGTTATTGAGATATATTGGGATCTGATTTACATTATTATAATACGATATACAGATACAGTTTTATTTCACTCGTTTTATTGTTGTTAGACTACCTATATTTAAGCGAGGCTTATCATTTTTGTGAATAATTTTATGTTTGTTCTAAAACAGTTTCGGAGCTAAAACTGAAATTGATTACAGATTTAGATTTAATCATTGAAATTTAATATTTCAGTCGTCGTATATTAAATCAGTATTTATTATAAACTAGCTTTCCGCCCGCAGCTTCGCCGCGTGGAGTTCGGTTATATCGCGTTTCCAAGAGAACCTTTCAAAAGTCTGGGATAAAAACTATCCTATGTTCTTTCTCAAGGTCAACTCTATCTCTGTACCGAATTTCATTAAAATCAGTTCAGTGGTTTAGGCGTGAAAGCGTAGCAGACAGACAGACAGACAGACAGACAGACAGACAGACAGAGTTACTTTCGCATTTATAATATTAGTAGGGATTTATTCGTAAGTAACATCAGTCAGCTTATAGTTTTTGTTACGTGCGCGAGGATTTTAAGCGAATTTAAATTTCCAATATTGGCCCACATGGAGTGAATTCGGTTATGTTTATTTATTTTGTTTTTTATATATCGTATGTTTTGAGAGTCGTGGGAAATGCTTTTCATTTACATACGTGGTGTTACAAAAACAATTGATGTTCAATCGTGAATACAATTGGACGGATCTTGTATTTATAATTCGAGATCATTCATTGTAGTGGTCAGTTTATTCAAACAATTGTTATATGTAAATAGGTTATTATTATACAAATGTAATTCAAATCTTGTATTACGACTCTTTAATTCTTTCCCATTGTTACTTTTTGTTTCGTTTTTAAATTGCCATCGAAATTAATGATGCTTTTTATAACATACAATTTTTTTCTTAATAAATTGCTTCACTATTCATTAATGTACATATAATATTTACTTCGACTTACGTATACTTTTAAAACAAAGATCGTATACAATTTTCACTGATTCTCTCCATCACTCTAAATCATTAAGTATCTGACCATTATTTTCATAGTTTTCCTTGAAGTTTAATGATTTTTTAAGGAATGCTCTCAGTTTTCAGAGAATTAAATGAAACCGTTATATAGGGTGTGTCCTAATCCATCTCTATCACCGGTACGATGATACTGGCTTATCGTGACGTGCCAGTGTAGGCAAATGGACGGCTAATTGCGGCCCCGGGCGAACCAGAAAAAATGAAGCTGTCACTGTTCACATTGTACCACGAATCTTTTAAAATATAGTTTAATATTTAGTTTTAATATACAACAACTTGTCAATAGAAGGCTTATAATTTCAGTGATCTCTATAAATTTTAAATTTCCTTCTACAGTTTTAAGACCCTTAATGAGTGAGAATACGTTTTTCGTTCCACTATTTTTGTAAGATAATTTATTGTATTTTGTTAAAGAATTTTAATGATACCATATAAGCAACAATGAATACGAGCCCAGAGTCTCCTCATTTCGAATTAAGATTACAACGGAACCCTCGCTGTAATTTCCTTAATGGTCAGTACGCGGCTCGATACTCGTTGCTTCCAACGTGTTTGTTGATATTCTACGTTTTTCCCTTAAAATTGTTTATTATACATACAACCCAACACAACCTGAGCACATCTTTGTATAGTTCAATCTCGAACATTGTTATTTTGATGCCTGATTTTTTACGACTTGATAGATTAGCATATTTTAAAACGATAGCCTGAAGGACATGTATTATTGTTTTATTCGTATTTATTTCATTGATTTAAAATATGAGATATTTTGGAAGTATTATATTGTAATGAATATAAAATCTCACCAACAATTACAGTTTATGTAACCAGCTTGTTAGTTACTCTTAATTGTATAAATGACGTAAACCTTTTTTTTTTCAACGCCGCTCAAATTGTTGTCGCGTTTTAATAACCGCTTGAACAGCTTTAGCGCGTTATCCGGGGATAAGTTCAAGGGATATTGATCCCTGTGACATATGCTATACACGCTACGGTGCCATAGATGTTTTTCACAATTACATGTAACTCTAAGGTTAAGTTGTACAGTTTAAGTAGTGGATGCGTGGCCACAGTTTCTAAGAAACTAAGGGCGCTCCATAAACTCTTGCTATTAGTGGTTATCTTTTTCCATCGTAACATTCTTTATAAATGAACCCGTTTAAAGTTAGATGCGTTATGTCAAAGTCATGTTGCAATATGTTGTAACTTAACGACTTCTATAATACTAGTGATTTAGTGAATTAACAACGTGTTTGTTATTCTTATTGCATTTTAATTAAAATTAAAGTCTCGACCTCAAAATTAAATGATCCAATAATTCGAATTATACCACGAATTGTTAACGTTAATGTAATTTATTGTTAAATTTTCCTCTTCAATTGGTAATAATCGTAATGAATCTTCGTTCTAGGAAAACATTTCGGCGTATGACGAAGGTCCGAATAAAAAACATTGAATCATTGAATTCTTAAAAGCGACCAAAATAACATTAAACAATACGCATAGCGAAAACATTGTGGCGTTTTGTATGTATGTTATAAAGACATTAGTAGCGCCGTCTGTGGTTAACCGACTAATAAAAAATATTAACTCTAGCTATACCAGAAGTAAGGTTAAACAGTATTTGGTATTCACATTGTTTCAATGCAATACAGCAAAATAAATGACATATTAAGTTTTCGTATGGTAAACTTTTGTAATTATAACAAATTATTCTGCCAGAAAATTATATTCAGAAACAATTGTCAATACAAAAAAGGTTCCATATATAATAGAAGGTACATTACCCAGCGCGAAAACTGCTCGTACAGTAGGCCAGGCATTCCGATGTGTGATTTCATAGTCGAGTAGTCATTTGGACATGCGGCGAAAATCGGTGAGGCATGCCTTCGCCTATCCCTCGGACTCAATATTCATAACGGGCTACCATTGTTTCCCGCCTTTACAAACGTCACGTAGAAACCGGCGCCATATTGAAAGGGACGTGCCACAAGGCGACCAGAAACACATGACCCCTCAACTACTGTGCTATCACTGACGCTATATACGTTCTATTGTGACCTGTTGTGTTCCAAAGATCTAGGTGAAGTGGAGGTTTTCTTGACCCAAAGAAAATTATGAATGTATTATTTTCTAAAGTACCGTAAAGCATAAAAATAAGGTTCGGCTGTCGTTCAAGTGACGCCTTACATTTTAATTAGTTTATTTTTTCTTGGTTAGTAACGTAATATATGCGTTAATGGTACCAAAGTCGATTATCTTACAGTTGCATGTAAAATAAGTTAATTTGTGTGCTTTTGTTGGAAATCAATCTATGAAATAAATTGATTTAAAATCTATTTCTAAATCATGTTTAGAAGATTTGTGAAATGATGGATAGCTCATTTTAAAGATGTACTTTCCTGAGAAATATGAAACTACGACAGTAAAGAAAATATAAGTCTATTTATAAAATTTTTACATAATATTAAAATTATATATCGAAATCAAGAACTTAAAAAATCTGAAACAATGCTATCAGGACATTCCTAAAGAGGAACAAGTATGTAATATTTCATATCTAGTCAATCGACATATTTAATTTATAAATACTTGTCAAATTGAACCACATCAACAAATGTTTTTCTCGTGTTGATTATGAGTCTGGAAAAAACCCCATCACCAAGTTGTCACCATCTATCATAAAGAGAACTCCCAACCGCGCTGGTACACAGAATAATCGTGACCTGAAACTAATGTTTCAGCATTTTTTCTTCAGTTCTGTTTAATGATTGACATACATTTCAGTTGTAATAACAAGTCGATAAGAAAGTGTCTCCTTATAATCGCGTGCGCCAATTAACCTTCCCAGAAAACGATAATCCAATAATAATCCTAATACTTTTTAATTATAATATAATCATCTATGTTAATATCTAAAGTCATTTATCAGTGTACAATGCATGTAGGTATGCAGATCGGCTTCTCGAATTGGTTTCCAAACAGGTTCTAATCGATTCTCAAGATTGTATCGATATAGTAATCAAACGAGGACATTAAGTCAATCTCTGTTTGTTTGATTTATAGTGCCGCAAGGATTTATTCCGTTACGAATGTATTGTACGGATATAATTTGTGTCATGAGTCAATGCTTTATATTTAACTGACAATTGGGTCAGTTTTGTAGGACGCTATGTAAACCAGATACTCGGTGCCCGGTGGTGGTTTTAAAATGTTTCGCTTTCATACAATATTATTATTGATTAATAACAAATTTACTGCCATTGCTATTAGATTTTACTCATTATCATCTGACAAAAATTTGAAAGTCCGTTTTGATAAGTCTATCTCTAATGCGGTCAGTTGTAACCCAAAAATAGAAACTAGCCTCCTATGGAATGACCATTTATAGTATCGTACAAAAAAGGTATTATCAGCCCTTTAGGTTATCCAGCTGACTGTCAACGGTTATAACCAAAACAGTTACTATGAATGGGAGGTAACTTTTCGTTATATATGGTAATAATAGATTTTATTACGGCCTTTAATTTAAGCCTAGGATGAAAAGAATCTAAGCAACATCAATACACACTGAAGCTGCCAAACAAGTAACCCATAATATGTATGTGTTAGTTCATAGGGTATGTCGTACTTAAAGGATGAATACACAAACTGGTTAGTGTTGATATATCAATGTAAAAAAGTAGCAATTTAATAACAGTTTACTTTTAAAAATAAACTTGGCACGTACTATTGTTGTGACCGCTGGAGTATTCAAGTTTTTATTAAAAAATTCTAAAGAAGTTGTTTATGATTATAGTTTTTTATTGCAAATTTCATATAAAACAAGTTTTGAATATTAGCCACCTATAGAGTATTGTTTCGTACGAGAAATACTTATTTTATCTCTATATTAACGCTATTGCTTACAATTGATATTCATACTTTACGCACATTTAAATTGAACTATTATTTTATTATATGTTCAAGTTTCGGTTATTTTTAAAGAATTGTGATCACAGGAAGACGTGATGAAAGTTTCTGTCAACTAACAGTCACCTGTTATTTGTCAACCGCCAATGATTTCTTCATTTTTTCGCTTGTTGCTGGATAAACACAGGCCTATTGATGTTAAATTCTTATGCTGAATTTACAGTTGAGTTTTTTAATACAGAACTAGGTATATTTCCTTAAATTTCATCCACATCCATCTAGTCATTTCTGCGATTAGTCGGAACGGAAAATAATTATGAACGGAGGGATAATTATACAGTATATGTTTTTTATCGTCCATACAAATTCTATTTATTTAATTAACCTCTTTGTTTCAAAACCAACAATACAGGGCTTAAGAAATTTATTCCAAAATACGGGTTTTTAAGTTTTATATATAAAAAAGAAATCTAGTAATACAAATACCATGGCGTATGTTTTGAAATGTATGGTATTTGTTAAAGAAGTAGCTCTTCAAGTAGCTTTAATTACCATTTTAGCTCGAGACACTTATCATTTGAGATGCAATAAAATGTTCATTGTTATTATGCTGCTTCTTGTAAGAACATGTCCTGATTATTTATATGTGAGGTTACTGGATGAAAACGCATCACCATCAGCAAAAAATGAATTGAAGTGTACTTGTAATTATAGGAAATAGTTTTAGTAGTTTGTTTTATTTGCTAAGAAAATATATGTTTCAGGGTCCGTCTGTAAAATATTTAAATTTTTTATTACTTTAAAAATATTTACATAATGTTTTATAACAATTTGTTAAGATTCAAAATCAAATTCATAAAATTATCTAAGTTTATTTAGAACGCTAACGCTAGCGTCGACTAGAAACAACAACACACGTTTATAACGACACCGCGTTATTGCAAAGTGAGTTAAGAAAATTATAATACTTACATCCCATTTCCTTTAAGGACAAAAAAATAAATAATTCCCACCGCCCGAGCTGCGGCCTAGGACGCAATCAGCGGCTTTGAAAAACAAAACCGGACTTGGATCCTTTCTTTCCTCTCAGCGAGGAATACAGCGTCTCCCTCTAGCGGGCAGAGCGACTGACAATCATCAGGAACCTATTATTATAAGGCGATCATCGTTATCCCTGTAATAGACTGAAATCCGTCACACCTACTTGTACTGTGAATCCCATGCAGCAAACAAGTCTTACGTAAAGATTCGCTTTTGTTTTCTACTTATATTAAAATATGTTTTAGTCTCTGCAATATTAATGAGGCTGGAATTTTAAAAGACTAAAAATATGGTACAGTCTCAATTAATTTATACGTACTAAGTCAAATATAATTTTTCTCAGAAAAAGACAAGTTATAATGTAGTTGGTTTCTTGTGTATGCACAACATAGCAATTACTTATAAAATTTATTTTAAATTGCTCTATTTTATACGTAAACCGTATATAGATTTATATTTTTCTATCATTATTTTGTACTTTTTTATAAATTTGTTTTGATTTTTCTTTTGTAATTTAGTATGAAAAATTTGGGTCACACTGTTACTATGTAAATGTTAGTT